TCATTCAAAGAATATATATCTTAAAAAATGAAAATTTCACCTTACATTGTGATAGTCATTTTTTTAAATTATGGGCACATAATCATGTCTTTATCATTTGCCTTCTCTTTTTCCCTACTCATCTTTTATTTGTATTTTTACTTTGTTGAAATATTTCTCTCTCTGCTTTTCTCCCCAGCAGCCTAATTCTGGCTTCTTGCTTTGTGCAGTGTGTCTGGACTGCTGAGGTGCTGGGGTAAGGGGAGGTGGTAGAGACGCTGTCAGGGCCAGGACTGAGGAAGATGCTGCTGGCTTCTCTTTATCAACATGAGCGTTTGATGAAGCATGTATCCATTTTATACTCTATGACAACTGTCCCCATATGTTCATTTATTTATATCAGTCACTAAATGCTATTTTAGTGGATGACTTTCACCAGAGGCAAGAAACCAGATTTCAGTAGACCCTGGGGCTGACAAAGCCCAGGCCACGGAGAGACTGCCTCCCAAAGAAAGACTTCCTCCCGTTGGAACTCTCAGAGCAGAAAAGTAGTGGTGGGTAGAGATGTAAGTGCCCAAAAGCCACAAGCAGTAATCCATCCGCTAATCATAATTCCAAAGGGTAAGACAAATGTTCCTGCGGAGTACCATTAAAGTGTGAGTTTATCTCTGCCGTGCTGTTTTTCTCTAGTCCTTATCTCTTGAGTTGATCCCTTTATCTCTTACCACCCCTGATCTTCTCTTTAAGCTTTCTCCTTCCTGCCTATTGTCCCCTCCTTATCACTTCTGTCTTAGATTAACCTACAGATACAAAGTGGAGTTAGTAATTGGATTATTTTTCATGGGGAAATCACTAACCTTTCCATTTCATTATTCTGAGAGCAGAAGTTTGTTTAGCTACAGAAATACATAACAGAACATGAGACAAATTTTTTTATAGACCAAAGAGTGTTTTTGAATTGCATCAAATATAAAATTAGAAGAACCTAAAAGGCTTTGATATATTTTCACATTAAAGCGTTATTTTGTATTTAGCAAGTGTCACTAGTTCTATAGATTTCTTTTCCCTACCTCCTGGTTTTCTGATGCCTGAAGCCCTTGCAGGAAGCTTTCAAGGTTGTTGCAAATGAAGTTATTCTTTCTTTAGTCAGGAAGGACCTACTACATCATAAACTCTTGCCTAGGATCCACAGGGTAAAACCCTGGACAGGGATGAGTAGTTTCGGTATCAGACATTTGTTTAACATCTTGTAGGAATTCCACATTACTTAAGTGAATAGACCCACTAATCAGCAGAGCAGGGCTAGTGGTTGAAACGGCCGCACCCTCTGCCTCTCTGATCTGGAAAACAAAGAAGTCCGTTTTAGGGTGTTAAATAATAAGAGACCTTAATAATTCTTTCTACTTAACTGGGCTTCTGTCGTTTAGAGTTCTGTTCACCAGAAGGATATATTCTTGTCCTGTCTTCCTACAATTCATGGGAGCAAAATACCAGACTGTTTAAAATAACTGAATGGGAACGTACTTACCAAAACTGCTAGGAGGCATAACCATGAAGCAAAGTCTTATTAGCATCTTCCCTAGCTTTTTCATTCTATTTATATCTGAGAAAGAGTAGAGACCACATGTGTTTTATTACACAGTCTCTGACAAAAATGAAGAAATGAGAGGATATAAAAAGGGTGGGTAACATTTAATGAGCACATACTAAATGCCAGGTGTGTTGAAAGTGTTTTGTGTGACTTGTGTAATTCCGTACTCAGTAATCTTGTTGGTACTATGTGTTGTCCCCTTTTCACAGATGAAGAAACTAACATAGTATCTGAGTGTTGGCCAGGATCACAAAACCAGAAAGTGACCGAAATTTGAACCCAAGAAAACTTGACTCTGGAGCCTGTTCTTTAACCACTATGCTCTCTCTGCCTCCTTGAGGTAATCCAGATGGTTTATATAGGTTAAATACCTTTTCAAGGTAATCAAGATGATCTATATGAGTTAAATACCCTTTTACCATGAAGACTGTCTGAAGTCCTTCCCACATAAGATCTCAATAAATTTAGTGAATATTTACTTCTTGAATATAGAGATGAAAAGGCTCCAAAAGTCTCCAGGAGAGTTTAATAGAAGAAAGGATCCATTTGTGGAAGCATCTCTTATAGTCTTCACCTGTTTACATCTTCAGAGGGTTCCTACCTGAGAGGTAGAAAGGGACTCCACTTCTGCTGGCCCTGAGTTACTATACTTGCCCATGCCACATTTCACCACCCACTCCCTTGCCCTAGTTTCCTGGGCTTTGGGGAAATTAGAAGTAGTCTCTTATGAATAGGCCAGGGGGTCTAAGGGGTTGTTAAGTTAGCAGTAAGTGCTCAACAAACTAAGTATTACGGACGTAAGTGTGTATGTTTATGTTGGGAAGGGTTATCAGAAGAATTTATTGCTTACATTGTTTTCCTCAAAGTGATGTAGGTGGACTTTGGCTAATCTATACATACTCTAACCTCCCAGGTAAATTGGTGTCTATACCAGGAAGGTAATCTCCCTGGTTTGCGGGGAGGCTGAACCTATGACCTCAGCAGAGTATCATGATGGAGGTAACCAGCCATACTCCAAGGCAGCATCTTCAGTCACTAGCTCTAGTTTGCAAGTCCTCTACATTTTAGAATTGCCTCAGGTATACGAATATTCACTTTGCCCCCTTGGTGTAGAGCTGGTTTTTTGCAGTTGTCAAACTGAACTAAAAGGATAGCAGCTCGATGAGTCTGGAGGAAAGCTAGCCCCACAGGAGCTCTTCTTTGATTATATTTTGCATTGGCCGTTAGCATGGCAGCTGGTTATCCAACTCTTTTCAAGCCACTTCAATTTGAAAGTGGCCTCAAGGAAAGGAAACTGCTAATGCTGATTTATACATAACTTTCAGAAGTGGATTGGATCAATCTCTTTATTTCAGAGCTTTCCAATGTGCCCTAATAGGTAAAGAACTCCATGTTCAAGGGGAGTTCAGAATATGCTAGGTTAAAAGAGCTGAACAGTTTGTTTTTTTTCCTGCAAGATTTTCAGAGCTTTTAACATGATGATGGGAATTGTAGATCTATAAGAAGCAATAGGGACCCATTATCTCCCAAATTTACTTCACTATGGAATCCATATTTATCAGACATGTTCTCGTACCAGTTTACACACGGCATCTTAGAAGTCCACAGGCAATGGATCCTGACTATAAAATGCAGCTCTACCACATACTATGGAAAAGAAACATCTGAACTAGGGAATAACAGAGAGGCTTTGAGTTTTGGGGGAAACTCAACAGAATTTCCACTTTAAATCATCTTTCTAGTCAGTATGGCCATAGTCATGATGAAATGAAAATGTTGACTTTGAGTAACAGAAGGTAAAATAAAAGACAAAGGGAAAAGTGAACAGTGGCAAGAATCATTCTTGGACTCATCTAATTGAGACTAGGTTGAAATAGAAAATGTCAAGTAATGTGTAGTGCATAACAGTAGACATCACTTTAAAATTCCAGCTTCCTGGATGTATGCTATGGAAAGAATGAAGTTGGTTGCTAATGTCTAACTAGGGAAGAAGCTGAGGAAGAGAAAGCCATATGAAGAAGTGGCATATGCAGCAAATTAAGAAGGTATTCATTCATTCAAACAGTGAAACAAGTAAATGTACTTCATTCTCTAGATAAAAAAGATTGAGCCCTGTTTTCATGTTTTCATCTGTTCACAGTCAAATGGGGGACTAGGCTGTAAACAACAAACCGTAGTAAGATAAGCTTCAGGATAGAGGTATAGCATAGTGTTATGGGATCTCAGAAAATGATTCCACTAAAAAGGTGGGAAGTGAATCTTAGATTGGAAGCATGTGTCAGGGCTGGGGGTATCCTCAGTAAACTGTGTGATGCCCATTCACATGAGTGTGTGTGTGTGTGTGTGTGTGTGTGTGTACAATACAGAAGGAAGACTTTCTAAAGCAAGTGATTCAGTTTGGGAGGCTGTGAGTGAGCCACACTAAGTAAAAACGGGAGGCTTGATAGCTTGTCCTTCAACAGACAGGTCCAAAATGACTATATAAAGTAAATATCATAAATCACTGTTGTCAGGGCGCACACTCCACCTCGTCCCTCCCTTCCCCACAGCCGTCCTCATTTCCACACCCCCTCAACGGTTCAGGGAGAGCTCGTGGTCTAAGTAAACGAGAGGACTTCTGACTGTAATCCTAGCACGTCACTTTGTTGAAGGCAAACACGTGGTTCAGAGAGAACTTATAAATCTCTCCTCCCAGGCAAGATCGTGATGTTATCTGCTGGCAGCAGAAGGTTCGCTCCGAGGGGAGCTCCAGAAGCTCCTGACGAGAGAGAGAAAAGAAAGAGAGAGGGAGAGAGAGGAGAGAGAGAAGAGAGAAAGGCGGACAGGAGAGGTAGCGCGCGAGAGAGGCAGAGAAAGGAATACAGAGAAGAGCAGGAGCGCAAGTGACGAGGACACGGGGAAGGGGATGGAGAACGTAGTATAACGGTCTAGGGAGCCACGGGAGCAAAGTGAGGGGGTGCCCGGCGGCAGAAAGGCGAAGGAGAGGGTCTGTTGCAGGGTGCCAAGTGCCCACCTACTCGCCGCGAGAAATCCGAGTGGGAGAGAAACCAGGAAAGGGTGGGAAAGGGTGGGAGTCCAAGGGACCCCCTCGCAGCCCCCTCAGGAATAACACTCCCTAGGCAGCGCGTCCCCGGGGCTGAAGGCAACGGCGGCAGCCGGTCGTCTGTTGCCGGGTTGGCGTCTGGAGCGAGAGCAGAAGGAGGAGCAGGAGAAGGAGGGAGGTGGAGGCTGGACGCGTCTGCTAGCGGCGGCACGACGTGGAGTAGCCGGGCGGGTTGGCGCGCGCCGGCCGGGGTGTTGGCCACCGCGCGCAGCAGCTCCGGGAGCAGGATCGTCGCCGCCTCTGCCGCCGCCGCCGCGGCCCGCGCAGGACCCGACCGAGTCCCGAGCGCCGTGCGGAGCGCACCCGCCTCCCCGCGGCGCGCCGGGCTCGCCCCCAGAGCGCGCACACGCGCGCGCGCGCTCACACACCCGCTCACACACTCACACACTCACACACTCACACACGTGTGCGCTCTCCGCTCCGGAGCCGCGGCTGCTCCCGCTCTCAGCGCCGCAGTGGAAGGCAGGGCCGAACCGCTCCTTCTTTAAATACCTAAATTACCGCCCGGCCAGCCTCGGCGGCCCCCCGCACAGCGCTCCCGGCGCCCCTCCCGCCAGCTCGCCAGCTGCCAGCCCCGGGACCTTTTCATCTCTTCCCTTTTGGCCGGAGGAGCCGAGTTCAGATCCGCCACTCCGCACCCGAAACTGACACACTGAACTCCGTTTCCTCTTAAATTTATTCCTGCCTAATAGCCACTCGCCTCTTTTTTTCCCCCCATCTCGTCGCTCCAAGAAAACTTTTTCTTACTCCTCAAAGTTAGGGTTCCCCCTGCCCATCGTGTATTAATATTTCCACTTTTGGAAAGACTTGCATTTTCTTTTTAAAGGAATTCAAGCAAGATAGCTTTTTCTATTGGACGTTGACTCTCGATTGTTTGCAAAAGTTTCGCATTAAAAAAAAAAAAATCTACCTGATCTGTACTTGAGAGTTGTTGGTTTCTTTTTTTTTCTTAGTTTTTTTTTTTTCTTTTTTTTTTTTTTAACTTTTTCCACCTTTAAAAAAAATGCACTACTGTGTGCTGAGCGCTTTTCTGATCCTGCATCTGGTCACGGCCGCGCTCAGCCTGTCTACCTGCAGCACGCTCGATATGGACCAGTTCATGCGCAAGAGGATCGAGGCGATCCGCGGGCAGATCCTGAGCAAGCTGAAGCTCACCAGCCCCCCAGAAGACTATCCCGAGCCCGAGGAAGTCCCCCCGGAGGTGATTTCCATCTACAACAGCACCAGGGACTTGCTCCAGGAGAAGGCGAGCCGGAGGGCGGCCGCCTGCGAGCGCGAGAGGAGCGACGAGGAGTACTACGCCAAGGAGGTTTACAAAATAGACATGCCGCCCTTCTTCCCCTCGGAAAGTAAGTACTGTTTTTTCGCTCCCATTCCCTGAGGCTTAGCGCTGCCCGAGGCTCTCGGGGCCGCCACGACTCCAGGGACGGCCCTTCCCGCTCCGGGTCCCGGTCTGCGCTCCCCCTCTCCGGTCCTCCGTCCCACCCACCTCCTTGCTGGTTGTGTGCCTGAGAACGTTAGGCTTGCAGTCCGCGACTTTCGACTTGATTTTCTCCATGTCTCCCTTCCCCCAAGGCCTCGGTCCCGTACGAGGCGTTATGCTCTCCTTCTGGCCCCTGAAAATATCTTCCCGGCCACCAGCCAGGACTCAGCCCCCCTCCTCTGTCAAAGGAGAGGCGCTCCCCAGGGCCGAGTTAGCCCGGGACGTCTCGGTGGGCTTGTTTTCTTTGGTGCGGGCAGAGTGGAGCCTGCTGAACTGGCGCACGAAGCGTTAAAAAAAAAGTGGCTCCAAACCTAGCCTCTCCGGAAGGCGCCCCTTTCGGGGCCGACCTATCAGCGGGTTCTCCAAGCCTTCCCTATTGTCTCTAACGCCCCTGAAAATGTCAGCATCGCCAAGGCAAAACCCGATTTGGAGACCCCTCGAAAAATACTTCCGAACCCTCAATTCTTGCATCTCTTGCCACAGCTGGGTGCTTACACCCCGCAAAGGCGAGATCTTGTCACCACGTCCCCCTTTGATGTCACCTGGAGTGGCAGGAAGGACAACTTCGTTTCTGACGATGTTAAAAAAGTGTTTTACTTCGCGTTATTTTTCAGTATTCCCTCAGACCTGTCTTCTTAAGATCGCTGGTGGAGCAGATCATTTTCCTTACGGGTTTACCGTTTATCTTTCTCACTCTTGAGCCGCCCTCGGCTCCCTGGGCTCTCTTAGGCTTCCTTGCAGTTACTTCGGTGCATTCCTAAATCTCACAGAGGGTAGAAGACAGCCGATTTTTCTTTCTTTCTTTTTTTTTTTTTTTTTTCAACTGGCTTCTCCGAGGGCAGCGTCCTCAAAACCAGTTGGCATACAGTAGCAGCGGGAGTGACGTGATTTATCGCAGTTCCTCTGGGGGGAAGGGAAGAGGGCAGTTAGCTGAGAATGATTTCCAAGTTCTTAGGGAAAAAAAAAAGAAAGAAAAGAAAAGGAGAAGCAGCATCCAGTGATACCTGAGAGGGTTAAATACCAGGAAGAAGAAGAAGAAGGAAAAAAAAAAAAGCTTCAACATTTGCGTATTCCAAATCCCAAGTCATAAACTTTTTCATTGGTTGCCCATTTCTCTCCTCCCCTTTCCATGCCCTATATACTTGCTGGCTGCCTTCACAAAGTCTCTGTGTCTTGCCTAAATAGATAATATGGCCATCTTGATAGTTTTCTCCTAGAGGTTCTAATTGCAGGGTGGTACTTCTCTTTTTTAATATTTATTTTTAGTTTGACAAGTCCTAGTTCTGTGACTTGCCATGTCTTGTACTTGACAGTCTTAGAATGTCAGCCCATGGATCTCCCGCCGGTCTTCCTGGCCACCTTTCTTTTTGCTGCACCTCCTCTTCTTGTCCACAAGCAGAGTAGATACGGGAGATCCTGGCAAGCAGGATGATTTTATTATTGTAATTAGGCACCATCCACAACAGTGGTGATAAATACACAGCGCCCTGGTTATTCCCCTCAGGAAGTAAAGCTTTCTACCTGGGGTGGAGCCAAGGAGATATTAGGAAAACAAGTTCACTGTAATTGGTCCAGAATGATTGAGACCAAACAGAGAGTTTGAGTCAGTTTGCTTTCTCAAGCACGTGTATCCGGTCTACTGGTATTTGGGCAGGCGGGCAAGTAAAGTGGGTTATATAGAATCTGAACCGGGTTTACCAGCAGTAGTTCAAATGAATTGCCAGCACTTTTATAACAGACAGGAGGTCTGATTTCTTCCTCATCATTAGACAGGTGTGGGGAGAACCAGTTACCTAAGAAGAGTGTTGATTCTTTGTTCCTTCCGGCACACCTCAGTCCAAAGAGCCGAGGTGATCCAACCTGGGAAAATGATCATCCCCAAACTGGAAAAATTCTCAGAACATTAGGATTTCAGAGGATGACAGCTCAGATCAGTGTGGGGATTCTCTACTCCATCCCACCTCCAGCCACCAAGTAGATAAAAGGTCTGCTAGGTGCAGTATAAAAAAAGTATACTATCAGTTTTCATACAGAGAATACCAGCTTCTATGGAAGTTTAGGGGCAGAGAAGCATATTAAGAGTAGATTGGATACTACTGTGCAAGAACTGTGGATAATTTTATAGAAAGTAGGTTAACTGATTTTCCAGCACTTTCTAGTTATACTGGAATATAGTGAACCCTTCCAAAAAAAAGGAAGAAAAGAAGAAATCACTCCACCGTATTTTTAAAGAGCAAATTGAAAGTACAGCATTGGCTTATATACTATAGCTTTCCTTCTTCAGGACTTTTCTGCCCAACTCTCAACTCAGGCGTCACTGAAGTGGCTGAAGGGAGGGAGTGTGCCTGTCATTTCTTGCAGTGAATCCGGCAAGGGTCATAAGCCCCAGAGATGAAGGCATGGGAAAGATCACTGGTTCATTTTTTACCATCAACTTATTAGCGTTCAGGGAGTGACTTCAGCTCAAATATTACAAATATGCTCTAATTATACTCAATGAGCTATATATCATTACAGATCGCTGATAGCCCTTTGTGGGACATTTTATACAATTCAGACTACATATTTTTAGCAATGTGGAGATTTAAAAGTAAAAATATAAGAGATATTGTATATGCCCTCAGGCATATTTTGTTTTAAATATTATCCTTGGCCCGGTATACTGTATAAATACAGTAAATATGAATAGAACTGGCCAGGTGCCAATCTCCTAGGATGAATTTTAGTCAAGAAGGTATTTATGGGATATAAATAATACTGTGTCAACATTTAAAGAAAGGGTCTGATTAGTTTTGAATTTATTCATATTGATCTTTTCACATGCTGTTAGTTTAAGGCTCAAAGTGGAGTTATGCTAAGGTTTACCGATAGTTTACCCAGTGGGAATTCGTGGACTCCCCAGTCCTTTTGACAAGCCATCTGCAGTTCAAGCCCTATCTGTTGGAAAGACACTGCACAAAGCTTTAGAAATCTCGAGAGTGATTCCGTTCACTAGACTGAGAATCCAGATGATTGACAGTTAAAATCTGTAGAGGCTTGGGCAGTCAAAAAAAGAAAGAGACAGTAAGTTTCATTTTCTATCTTTCCTCTCACTTGTTTTAATTGTAACAAACCAGGCAGTGTTGGGGTTCTAAAAGGTGGTGATTTTGCCCTGGCCCCCACCTCCCAGGGAACCTGGGGTGAAGTCTGGAGTTTTGGCTGTCATGACCCTTAGGGAAGGCATGCCACGAGCATATCATGGGTAGAGGCCAGGGACGGTCGCTAACCATCCTCTAATGTACAGGACAGGTTCCCTCCACCCACCACCACCAGCACATACATCAAAGAATCGCCAGTAATGCGCATGTTGAGAAGCCCTCCTAACCCTGCTATTGATTTTGGGTTACCGAATTTTGCAAGGAGTCCCATTTTAAAAGTAATAACCCTAAAAATCAAATATCTGTATGATCAAAAGGAGATTAAAATGAGAGCATTGAATGGAAAGATAATCAGAAAATTATCGTCATGAGATGGGAGCTTGAATTGGACCATTTTGTGTGGTGGATACTTTATTATTATGATCCTAAAGCACCTAAATTGGAGACCTCAAAACTTCCCATTCATTTAGCCTAAATAATGATGTTGCCCCACCCATCAGTAATTTCAGTAAGCAGCAATGTGATGTTAGTCAGAACAGAGAAAAAAGAAATGAGGAATTGTCGTGGATTTTCCTTGCAAGGAGAATAAGCAGTTCATGTTAATGAGGAGTGGGATCTCCAGCCTAGACAACCAAAGAAAGTAAATAATTGTGTTGGTTTATTCTATCATATTGAGTTAGATAAACCAAAATATACAGCCTGAGACATCACAATGAAGTTTCCTTTGTAATTGTTTCACACGAATGTTAAATCTTTAATAGCAAACAATCTCCTTTTCTATTTCCCCTGTAATTTTCCAAGTGAAATCGTGGAATGTAGAATGAATACTAATAGCACTACGGTTTTGGGGAATTCGACTTAAGATTCTATTCATGGACATGTCCTTCTGTATACAGATTGCTGGACTATTGGCCAGTTGCCCAATGAAGGAAAATATTAGCAGTTGCTGGAACATAGTAGTATTTTTGCTTTATAGCCAGGGATTTTATTTTTTAAGATTCTCTGTGTGAGGATGTCTGAGAAAGAAAAAGAGAAAGATCAGAGACAATCGGATTTGACCCCTTGACTTCTAGAATGATTGAGTTATTAATACACAACAGACCAAACTTCAATTTCTGCATTTTTATTGTGTCATTGCTTGTACTAACTCTAGTGCCTAACTGTGGTTCCAGTAAACTTGGGTCACATTCTTCTTTCAGGATTTCCTCTCCTTTCCTTCTTTTACTTTTCAAAGACTAGGAGAAGTAAATACTGTTTGTAACTGAAGCAGTTGGGCAGGCTTTGTTGCCAAGTGAGAACAGCTCGCCGCGAGCCTCCCCTGAGGAGATCCCGTCCCGTGGAGGCTGGGCTTTGCAGAGGGGCAGGTGGGGACCCCTTGACCTGGCAGAGGGACCTGGCACCCTCTGTGTCTCCACAGCGACCCCTGGGGTCCACTTACGGAGCTGCACTTTGTAAATTCCGACTTTCCCCTGGTGAGAACACGCTGATGTAACCTAGTCGCAGCATCTTTCATATAAAGATATGAAAGAATGACAGATCATTTTTCCTAGAGGAAACGGAGACGCGAAAAAAAAGGCTAATGACTCACTGTTGATTCCACATCAAATCTGGGTTAGCACTGAGGAGGTCACTGACTCTTAGGCCTTCGCCCAGAGATTACAACACACTCCAGGCTGCATTTTTAGAAGGTTAGGGACACCGAGTGGAGAAGCCCGGCCCTGAGAGAGCG